ATTGCTACTACTTGGGTAAAAGGCGAAACGAAGCGGTTTTACAAGTCAGGTCACTCTTAATGAATAAACCTGTTTTAACAATTTACAACCCTGAATCCAAAAAAGAACCACAAGTAAATAGCTTATTATAGTAGAGCAACAACTATAGATGAGTATTTTTACTATTCATATGAATTATAAACCTCAGCAGTAGTCGAGTCCACAAAATGGTTTAGAATGTACCTTAATGGCACCCATTTCAAAATCAACCGACATTTTTTCCTAAATTGGAGGGAGCATCGCGCACCGTACCCGACCGACTGCTTTCTTTGGAGCTGGGGTGTAAGACCTTTTGTAACTACTTTGTGAAAACTGATTATAATAGCTCTTGTTGTGTACTTCAAACCCTGAAAAGCACATCGATGCACTTATGCAGGTTTTCACAAAAAAAAAATGCACGACAGGCCTGTTTGTTATGAGTTGAGGTGTAGCTTTAAAAACTCCCCAGAACCACTTAATGCAACAATACCGCAATAGAATAAGACTCTTAGGCACAGATAGAATGTATATAATTACCGCCCTCACCTCCTATGCGCGTCACGGGCTTCTAAGAGTAACCTACGGCCACGGCGTATCGCAGGCGGACAGCATTTATTCGGGGTTTAATATAATGAGAAAATACCATGACGAAATAAGTCATACCGGTTTGAAACGATGTGAAACTTTAATATAAAGTAAATTTTGGTTTCCAAAAATGATACGCTTCATAAAAAATATGTTTATGCGTGCATTGAGTGTGCATATAAAAAAGTCAGTATGGTAGAAAAGGAAGTTTTCTCCATCGGATACATAAACCAAAGGAACATCTTTGCAACATGACATATTGATCATCCGTAAAACAAATAAAAATTATGTTTTCATTTTTATGATAGCCCAATCATTTTCTAAATACTTATTTGCCAGACCAAGTAAGGCAACAAACTCAAAAGAAGTAATTTATTGTTCAAAAGATTCATTCAGTATGTTAGAAACACCAAAATGAATAATTGCAGATCGTGGCAAGGCCTTTAAATCTAAAACCTTCAAAGAGTTTTGCGGCGAAAGAAAAACTGAATTGGTTTTGAATGCCCTAGCTTCACCACGTTCTAACTGCCAGGTCGAACGTTAAACCGTTGGACGGTATAAATACAAGTATCCGGGATGAAAACGAATGGTATGAGGAACTGCGTGAGGTTGTCTGGGGAATGAATAACACTACCAGTGAAAGCACAGGGTACACTCTACATACATTAATGTTTGGCTTCGATAAAGATCGTTTAGGGAACTTGGAGCAAGAAGACATAGTACTTGAAAACAGAGTACAAGTTGCAGAAAAAGCAAAAAAAATGGACTTACAAAGTAAGAAAATGAAAAAAACATTCGACATGACACGAAAAGAAAGTACCAAATACAGTCCGACCTCTCGACAGTAGGGCAAATGCAGCGGTTAAGGTTCCAGGACAAGGAACGTTTGTGAATAGATGCTGTCAAAGAAGGCAGGGATAGTTATAGAAGAAGAAGTTGTAAGAATATTATAGGAGTAATGGGGCGACGCCGTATATATACAACCCTTCTGCCGTATTACGTTGCAATAAGTTACGTTACTCAACCTACTTGACGCCATTCTGTGAGATGGAACGGTGCAGCATTTGATCACATACCGCCCATTAGATACATTCATTATACGCACTATGAAATTGCCTTTTACTTCTGTCTGTAGGTATACATTAAGCCCTATACGATTAACAAGCAACCAATAGCGGCAAAACCTAATTATGCATTATCCAATTAGGGTCGAATTCATCGAGACTACACACATAGAGATGTAGCTAACAAATACTTGCAAAAGTTACACAGTTGAAAAGTTTCTAATAGAGCGCCGAGACGGGTAGGCGGAATTCCCAATAATGGTAATAACCTGCCTCAACTATAGTGAAGAGAGTATGTAATTATTGCTATACGTTAGAGCTTAGAATCTTACACGTAAATACGTAGGAGATGCGGTCATAAAAAGTTATGCTTGGACAAGTTAAATTTAATTTTTTCAAGGTACGATAAAACTATTCACATCCATTCAGCATTAACAGCCAGAGATTGTGGGTATGTAAAACTTTTTATTCGACATCAAAGAATGAGAAAACGTGTTTTGTGAGATTCAATCGAAAGTGTTGGCAGAAATGAAAAGACTTGTCGTATCAGATTTTTAGGTATGATATCACACGTAAAAAGATGAAAGGATATTTGCAATGTGCTGATTTTTTGGTAGTATCAACTCTAGTATAGAAATACGAGCCAAGATCAACTACATCAAATATGGCTAACTCTGCAGAATTTTTTCTAATTGAAACGTTTTGTCATACATTTTTCGAATAGCCCAGTAATTATTTAGATATATCCTTTGATATTTTTCTTCAAATTCTACTGTATACATTTTATACATCAACTTCCAGACTAGGCAATTTCAGGCAATATTTACATTACAAGATGTTAATTTAATTTTCATTTATTTAACTCAAGATGCTAATAATAAATCCTAATTCTTCATTTGATTTGAACGTTGTAGAAATCAATGGAAATAAAAAAAATACAACGTAATGTTCTGTTCATTATTTTAATGCCTGCATACAACAATTGATACTTTTTTAGAAATTTGCTAAAATTAAATGCTATTAGAGTAACTATAAAGTTGTAATTTGGACGCAAAAGACAGCTCAACTTTTTTTTATTTTTAGATTTCGCAAGTATTACACTTCAATGACAAAATTTGAAATTATTCAGTTTTTAGTAAAAAGTACCTACAAATATTATACTATGTTTGAAAGAGCGTCTAGTTTTCAAGGTCATTTGCTGACTCAGCCTGGTACATTTCTTTCGCAGTAATTAGTTAAACTTTAGTTTAGTAGTCGTTAGGTTTCCGCATTAAAACCAAACGTAATAATTTAGCTTTTTTTAGCATACCGTGTAGTTTTCAATGAAATGAACACTCGGTTGCCTCAACCAACTATCAATTGTAGCCCAGGAAAAAAAAGCATAAGCTAGATGTTCTTTATAGCAACAGGCAAACAAGGAGCAAGAAGTAGGGATTTTCTGAAAAAACCTAAAAGTAGCAATAACTCGGAGCTAGAGAACTTTTACTGAGGTCTCTGACTTTATCTGATTGTTCTGAAGCCAATCTACCTCCCGTGTCACCCTGACAAGTTATTTCTGGGACACTCTGTATACAATATTTGCATCTCTCAGATCCACCGCTGAGATGCTAGGTTGAACTTAATGACCTAATGAGGCAGGCGGGAAGTGGCTAATGGCCGCAGTGGACTAAAATACTAATAATTAATAATAATAATAAAAAAAATAATAATAATAACAATAATAATAATAATGATAAGTATTATCGTATTCCTTTGGAATTCTTAAATGGAGTGACACCGACCTAAGGGACCTTGACCGCACAACACGAAGGCTACTTACAAAATTCCGTATGGTACACCCCAAAGCTGCAGTTGAAAGGTTATATTTGAGTCGCAAAGATGGAGGAAGGGGACTTTTGAACATCGAGTAAATGTGCAAAAGGCAAGTACCATCCCTTCGTAGCTATTTCCACAGGCACGAAACCCAAATTGTCAAGGGGACTATGTGCTATGATAATAATTATACGCCATTGAAGTTTCTGCACAACCAAGATGCATCCCAACCTAGCAATTATAGAAGCATATGGCTAGAATCCTGGAAGACTAAGGCTATACATGGAAGATACCATATTCTTTGGACCCAAGCAACATCGACAAGGAGCCATCCATTTCAGTAATTAGGAAAGGATATCTCCACCCAGAAACTGAAGGCTCCCTGTTTGCCATTCAGGATAAAGTAGTGCGCACTCGTAACTATGAGAAACATATTTTACACCTAAGTGTTAATGACGTCTGTAGGAAGTGTCAGCGCGTTTGTCCACCGCCGCCGTCACCGGACCGTCACCGAGAACGAGATTATTTCGGGCCGAGTTTAATATGACGTAACGGCGATCGTTTGTCCACCGCGACCGATTTCGCTGGTTTAGTTTGTTCCACCTGTCATGCGTGGTAGTCGCGTTTTCGAAGAAATAAAGTGATGGCTAGGTTAAACCGGCGACAACTTATTCTACTATAAGCAGAATAGTGACACAAGTGTGTCACCAAATATGGACTATTTTAAGTGGTGAACACTTGGCTGCGCCTACTACTGAGCGATGGTTATTAATAGTGGAAGGATTTAAACGAAGAGCTAATTTCCCAAACTGCATCGGTTGTGTCGATGGAAAACACATACGGATTGAAACATTTCCGAAATCTGGCACTATGAACTTTAATTATAAGGGATATTTCTCCATTGTACTTCTGGCAGTAGTTGATTCAGATTACAGATTCGTATATGTTGATATCGGTTCATACGGTAAAGACTGCGACTCCGCAATTTTTCAACGTACAAACTTCTATCAACTACTCACTGAAGGCAGGTTGAGTATACCTCCACCTGTTCCACTGCACTCATCTCAAAATAACAGAATGCCACATGTTATACTAGGCGATGAAGCTTTCCAGCTGACTGAACATTTATTACGTCCTTTTGGCGGTAACCATTTAGATGTGAAAAAACGTATTTATAACTATAGACATTGTCGTGCACGAAGATACGTTGAATGTGCATTTGGTATTATGGCCAATAAATGGCGAATATTTCATCGCCCTCTAAATGTAAACAAAAAACTTAGCAAAAGTATAGTTAAGGCATGCATCGTTTTGCATAATATTGTACGTGAAAAAGATGGCTACAGAGGTGAGGATATGTTCATGTCTTTTATGCACGATGGGCTGTCTGATCTACCAAGGGAAGGAAGTGTACTGCATGGTGGGCGTACTGCTAACGGCTCCTCACCTTGGCAGATGAATAAAATCTAAACTTGTAATTACTTAATTAAAAACATAAATAATAAACTATCATGTATTTACTAATTTCGTCTTTGTTTTTCTGGTCCATATCCTCAAAGTTCGGCTCTAAAAAGGCACAAACATCGCGCCATGCATTTCTACGCAAAACTTTATCTTTGGACACTTCCTTGGTTTTATCCCACAAACATTCTTTACTTTCTATAATTTCTATTAATGAATAAATATCGTATTTAAATTTTTTCGCCATTTTTATTGCAATGTTATACTAATTAATGATAATTGATTACAAACAAAATAATAACTGAGCTCGTGTACGGTGCGACGGCGACGGCAGTGTGTGGACAAGTTCATACGTGTTTTGTATTGCCGGCACATCGGCCCGTCAAAATCTCGGGCGACGATCTAGCGGTCACGCCGATCTACTCGCAATTTCGGCGGCCGGGATGACGGCACTCGGGTGACGGATGTGCGGTGGACACGCGGCTAAGTAATGTAATGTAAATGTATGTACCGCTTCTTCGGCGCCGTCATCTAGTTCTCGGTGACGTGACGGTGACGGCGGCGGTGGACAAACGCCGTCAGAAACCGGACGAAACAATAGAGCATATAACCGCTGGTTCCAGCTTGCTCTCGAGCGGAGCCTACTTAGGAAGACACAACCAAGTAGCTAAAGTAATTCACCAGGAACTAGCACTAAAATATAAGATCACCAAGAACAGCACTCCGTACTACAAGCATACACCAAGCCCAGCAATGGAAACTGAGCAAGTTGTTCTGTATTGGGATAGGCCTATTATCACAGATAAATGCCTCGATTTTAACAGACCGGAGATACTACTGATAGACAAAAAACAACAAAAAGCCATAGCTGTCCCGCTGACGTTTAATCTCGCCTCAACAGAATTTCATAAGATAGTTAAGTACGGGAATCTAGCTATTGAACCGAGACGTATCTGGAAGCTACATGAAATAAAAATCATACCATTGATAGTATCGGTGGTGGTGTCAAACAGACTCTCCACTTACGTAAAGGAATTAAATTTACCTCAACAGGTTATTAGTATTATGCAGAAGGCAGCCATACTACAGACCTGCCATGTTGTAAGGAAATTTTTCGCAATAGGATAAAGTGAATTCTTTCCCTAGCGCGAGTGCAGCCAGCGCGGAACGCTGTGAGATACCGGAAATCATAATAATAATAATAATTATAAGAATTAATAATAACAATAATATTATATCTCCAGCATAAAGGAGTCAACAAACAGGACCCACGAAACTACAGACCGATATCCTGTCTTTCTGTATTTTACAAGCTCTTGACGGCATTGATTAGTAATAGGATTTATAAACACTATAGTGAGCACAGCCTAATAGCATTCTATGAGAAAGGTTGTATAATAAAATTATTAGGTTTCAAGGAGCAGCTAACCATACATGCTGTGATTCTAGGTCACGCAAAAAGAAAAAAGCGTAATCTCTGCGCATGCTAAATAGGCTGCGCAAAGGCCTTCGACTCAGTCCTGCACAATTGGCTACTGAAGACCCTGGAAATATATAAAATATCTGAAAATATCAAAACCCTACTTGCACATCTGTTTATGGACGACTTGAAATTATATTCTGAGACCAAACTCGAATCGCTAATAAATACTACCCGATTATTCAAAGAAACCGTAAAAATGAACTTTGGACTAGACAAGTGTGCGGTGGTACAAATCAAATAGGGATATTTGTTAAGCAATGAAGAAGGGATGAAGCCTAAACGCCAGGACACCGCGGCTACAGTAAGTATCTCAAAGAAATTTTGTTAATCCTATTTCTGAACTGCCTCCTCTTGTAGACAAAGGGACAAAGGTGCAGTCGTATCAGCTAGCTCTGGATGTTCAAAGTTCGACACGGTTAGGATGTGAGGCCGAAGTCAGGCGGGACTGGCTGGCAGGAGCAACGTGCGTCGGCATCATAGAAGAGAGCTTTGAGCTTTGGTGTAGCGATAGGGAGCTGTATAGCTAGGGGTCCCGAGACTGTCTGTTAGAGAAGAGACATCGATAAGTCGGACAGCCCTTCTATGGATAGCATCGAACAAAAATAATGTAGTCGGGGCGGCAGCACCCCAAACGTGTCAGCAATACTCGAGGCTGGGTCTTCCCTGGGCATTGTATAGACTATAGAGTGAGGAAGTCATATGGAGAAAAGTACTTCTTAGTCCTGAACAAATAGCCTAGCTTTTTCCCAACAACTGACGCTATTGACGAGATGTCTTGATCGGCTTGTCGCTCTGAATTTCTGTATTTAGAGTGCAAAGGTGTGGATTGGATTGAATCTCTGATACGCCGTAGAATGTATGTTTGTAAAATAGGCCAGCATGCCACAGCGGATCGAATGCTTTTGTGATATCAAGACCAACGACGTGAGCCTCACCATAAGACTGGATGAGTGTATTCCACAATTGCGTGACGATCGCTGGTATCGCAAACCATACTGCCTATCACTAATCAAGCCACGACGTTAGATGTACTCAAGATCCTCTCAATTCCATCATCTTACTTATAACATAAAGCGGAACTACAGGACTGTAGTTGTGAGGGTCGGGCTTAGACTCTTTTTTGGGATGGGTTGGATATTACCCATACGAATCCCTTCCTGGGTAAGGATTCGTAAGATATCTAGAAGAGACACGAAACAGCCGGAGCAAGCTCCGCTGCACACCTCTTCCATACAACGGCAGGAATCAATTCCGAACTAGAAGCTTTGTTTGATGTCGAGCGACAAGAGCACCTGTCTTACGGTCTTCTGTCTGAATGTTGCTTCTCGCATAGTGTAGGAAGCCTTTTGAGCCGACGGCACTCGGGGGTTGGGTGGAATGGCTATGGTAGAGTTGGCAGCAAAGATCTTGGCCTTAGCCTAAGGCCCATATCGTCAGTCGTCGCTACAATTGTAGGGCCCGTTTATGGCCTCCTTGATTGTCATACTCCATTCTTTCCTTCAAAAATTTCTAGATTACACTTATCCCGTGTCAGCGTCAGCGTTCTCCTATTGTGAAGATATGTTTTCTTTTTAAATTGTAGGAAATTTCAGGCTGATAAAACATGATATAACTCAAAAGCAAGCACAATTTGATGCAAATAGATGTTTGTGATATAACCTCAAAATAGAGTTCTGACACGGAGAAGTAGAAAACTATGACAATCAAGGAGGGCATAAAGCCGCCCTACAATTGTAGGGACGACTGACGATACGGGCCTTAGCCTTTGAGTCGGCTGTGAGATATTTTTCGTATTATTTATTGTGATTTGGAATTAATTTATTTTTGCCTCAAAATGTTGAATAAAAAATATTCATTGCCACAGTTACTATTGTAATACTCTGAATATTGAATTTCTTTATCCGAAGCCATACTCCTTCACATCAATGCAAAACGAATGACCGATACTTCATACTACTTCAACCCGAACGGGGCCGTGGATTTGGTCTAGTGGTTATTAAAAATTCTCAATGCTCCTGCAAATTTAAAAAAAGCATGTGGAATTTCTTCAACAGCCACATAATTGTTACAGACACGATTTGAAAAGTAAATGCATTTGTACAGCCAGAGTCACCCTGTAAATTCGTCTGTACCATAATAGGAGCAGAATGATGGAGAATGAATAAAATATCTGCAAATTACATCGATGCACAGTCTCTTTTAAAAAGTATTCGAAAAAATCAGCAAATTAGAACAAATATTTTCAGAATAAAAGTAAGTAAACCAAAATAATCATATACCAGATCTAACTCACAATTTCGACTAACTTAACCGAAAAAATTAATGAATATATGAAGAATGAATGTATATGTCTGCGAACAGAATATTTTGTATCTTGATCTAGAACGATTCTCTTCCTTCCCTTTATAGTACACCACTAGTCATTGGATGTTCTTTTCAATCACTTCATAGTTTTTTCTTTGATTATCCGGAACAATGTTCTTTCAGGTAGATTTGTTAATCTGCTACAAAGTAAAACAGTATGAATAACACCTAATGTTTTCTCTCACGCACGAAGTCCGCCGTTAACGTTGTATATTAACCCTTATTCCTCATCAGAAACAGTCCTACGGGCGTTTTTTGCTACCCAACTTTCACTTTGTCCCTTAAATCGCGCTAGAACTATTCTCCTTAGGCTACACCGCTGGAATGAATGCACAAACGCTAGCCGTGGGATAAGGGGTAGGCAGTATAGACCAGTCCCGATCATGGTGTGCCCGAATCCTGACAGGGTTGTTTTGTTGTCACTATAGTTGGCAATTCCACGTTCGTACTCCTAAACCATCAAACTGATATTTTACGAATTTCTTGGCTGTCGTCAGACAATGAAGCAATTTTCCGTTGTGCCATATTCATCGTCCCTCTACTGCACGTCCATCTGAATATACGTTTTTTAATTCTTACTAGTTTTAAATCATGCACTTTTTCAAAATAGGTAGGTACATTCATTACTGAATTCTTGCAACTGCGGTTTTTCAGCAACATAGATGAGTCACTGCTATCAGTACTGATCTTCGAGTATAGATACACAACTTGAATTCATCACATAGTACCCATTTAATTTACATCAGGTGAAAAGAACTGATAATTACAAATATACGTTATCTGACCAGTGGCTGGTGTGGAGAAGAAGCACAGATAGATTTTATTGTGAAGATCAAGCATTTTGCTAGAGACGCGCATGGGTGGAAATGTATAGAGATGGGCGGCCGTTGCAAGCTTATTTTTTAACTGGGGAATGGAAAAATTATGTTGCCTAATCTGACACTTTTAACTGACCTCAAGAAATGATCATATTCTTAGATTTTAATATGCATTTGTACGTACAGTCTTCCATTCTTTCGGTTCCGTGTGTTAACAAATTCAACATCAAAACCCTTGGTTACGGGTCACTTAAGGTCTGATCTTGTTTTTTTTTTCCTCATCAACAATTCTGATATGAACTGATGACAGCGTTGAGTGGAAAGTACAGAGACAATCTACTCGACGACACATTTTCAAATCAGAATAAAAAATATTTACCTGAGCCAGAATACACTATGGCGTCCGTAAGAAAATGTAAAGTTGATGATTGAGGTCAAGAGACGAAACGCCATACTGAAATTATAATCATGCCTCCTTCATGAGGAGAAAAAGTAGCAACGTTAATGTGCAATTTGATTTAGAATCCCACCTAAAACAAAGTCAGGGAATTTTAAATACTATATTCGTCGTCTATGAAATACTATGGATTGCAAAACTTTCAAGTACTATTTTTTATTTTCCTAAGCTACCAGGCGAGTCCGCTTTAATATTCGCCTCGCAACTACAGGCACACAATGCAAAAATATACTAGATGTGAAATATGTCACATATCAAATGTGAATTTAGACTTTCATATTTAGAATCTAATCCCATCGGGAAACCTCATTATTCCCTAATCTATTTTACGAAACAGTCCGCTATTTTATTAGATTTCCAAAATGAAGTTTGTCATGTTCAAAACAGAAAGGGACAATGTAATGAGTACTGGACTGGCGTTAATGAATTTAAGCTGTTGATAACTGATGACGCCTTG